GATTCGGTTTGTTCAATACCAATGGTGCGCCTAACATATTCAATCATTGTCAAGGGGGTTTTTAAGTAGCATCAATTCATGCAAAAAACTCGTTAACAGACAGACGGACAGACAGACGGACAGACAGACGGACGGACATGAGGAATTCAATAGCTCTCGTGCTACGCAGGGCGAGCTAATAAAACTTATAAATGTGTACCGAAAGGAAGTATACATATGTACATAATTTTGAAAACTTTGAAAAAATTGTATGGTTCTTTCCCCCGACATTCTGCCAGGGTTCGGAAAACCCCGGGGTTTTTCTAGAAAAACCCAACCCCGCGGGTTTTTCCGGGGTTTTTGTGGGTTTTTGGGTTTTTGTGGGTTTTTGTGGGTTTTTGTAGATTTTGGGGCAGGTTGAACCAAAATTCTTTAAATTATATACTAGATAAAAAGTAATTTAATATACGATTTTGACATGCAATTTTAAGGGTTATCATTGAGTTGGACTGTTGAATCGAAAATGCATATTTCGCATGCAAACTTGGAAATATGCAATTAAACTTGGGAATTGAAGTCGCACATGAAAATTCTCAAAATTTCATGATGAATCCGTCAATTTAATTAGCATTGATTTAAGTTGTAGTTTAAGGGATTTTGTTTCAATCTGTCCCAAAATCTTACAAAAACCCCGGAAAACCCCACATAAACCCGCAAAAACCCCATTAAGCATTAGGGTTTTTCCGGAGATTTGATACCCCAAAAACCCACAAAAACCCCAAAAACCCCGGGTAGCGAACCCTGCATTCTGCATCATTGGTGCGTAGGGCATCCCTTCGCCAATTATTTATTTTAAAATTTACATATTTTAGTGTCAAAGGTGCAGAATTATCAGGTGCAGAACAAATAGAACAGAATTCTCACATGATTTTTGGGGGAAATATATGGCCCAATTGTTACGCATCATTTTGAATAACCAATTGCTCGGTACTAACGATGCTACTTATTTCAAAATTATAGTCCTATCTCGATCTATTTGCTGAATTAACTTGCACCATTTGCGTCAACGATTGTTTGATACCAGTGCTACTCAGTCCTGTAACAAAGGACCAGGGACTTATTAATTAGCATAATTTGATGCAAAAAAACTCGTGAACAGACAGACAGACAGACGGACAAGAGGAATTCAATAGCTCCTGTGCTACGCAGGGTAAGTTAAAAAAGAAACTCGTAAGATTTTGCAATTTTGAGTTAAAATTTTGGACTCGTCATAGTCTACTTAATAATATACTGACTATTTACTATTTTTATTTAGCTGAAGAGCGAGAAAGTTGTCATCTTCTGCGTCCTACTTTTGGGATTTTCCTTGAGGGCGGACTAAGCACTTTCCTGGAAATCTCTTATAAAAAAGGGAATGGAGGTCCTTTTCACTGGGGCGGTCGTCGCTGGGGTTGACGCGAGTCTGGACGCTAATAAACCGGATGGGAAACAACTGGTGGTGTACCCCGCGCCGTTTCAGCCGCAGCCACAGCCAAACCATGATGAGAGGGGCCTGGGTTTAACACTGTTCATAACTGGTTCATTTATTACCTGCATAGGAATAATAGGATTAATGTGCAGTTTTCTTTTCAAGTGCATTAAGTGTAAACAAGTTCGACACAATAATCCAATCAACATTGAATCGGGAAATATGGCTTAAATCTATAACTATTTAGCTATACATTACATTTCATTTACAATTTATACAGAAATATTTTATTCACATTCTAATGGAAATTTAATTACTTATTTAATTTAGACAACTTATATTATGTCAAACATTTTCTTACTCATGCAATTATGAACTCACTTAACAAAATCGTTAAAGTAGAACTCACTTTAAAATATTAGTATTTTTAATTAAATATTAATTATTTTATTTTATTTATATCACTCAAATTATTATTATGTAACTCTATGGGCCTCGGCCTGGAAGGGTTTAGGATTTAAATAAAAATACATAAAATACAAAAATACAGACTATTTGCATAATTTGTTTCCTAATTTAAGCCTCGCTGACATTCACGGACTTTAACGGTGAGGTGTCAACGACCCATGATATAAGACTTACGGAGGAGAGTAGACTTGTCAGAATATGAGAAAATCGCATTGCACGTGCTAAAAATTTTTGAAAACTGGATTTTTTTTGCAGGCCACAGCCGTAAGCAATAATTTGCAAACCACGTGCCCGGTAATCGTATTTGTGTTCCCATTTCACCTAAAAACAATTATGAGGTGTCATCGACCCATGTTATAAGATCTAGGGAGGAGATTAAGTTTAGCAGAATTCGAGAAAATCGAATTGCTCGAGCCGGAAATTTTTGGAAACTTGATTTTTATTGCATGCCACGGACGTAAGTAATAATTTGCAAACAACGTGCCTGGGAATCGTATTTGTGTTCCCATTTCACCTAAAAACAACTTTTTGGAGGTCAATATTTGGTTCAATATAAAGTAGGTTTTATTCTCTTACCAGTCCTAGATACATGCATCGAGTTTATGTGTTTTTAATTCTTCCGGGTTTACTTGCAATCAAATGGCAATAAATAGCCTACCCGCAACTTCTTGTTGAGACTATGCCCATTTTAGACGTACCCATGAACGAGCTGGTCCTACTTGTATTTGTCAACAACAAAATTACAAATATTCAGCAGTATTGGAGAGGTTCGATTCTACTAGGATGATCTCTAATTTTGCGCGCCCGACACGTTTCCAGAAGTTTTGGTGCAATAGATCGTTGAGCTTAATCCTGGTACAGGCTACTAGCTCCATGCATGCATTTTACGTTCTGTCCATTCATCGGGGTGTACGTACAGTCAAACTAGTCAAAAATATACCCATCGATGTGCGGCACTAATGTGTTAATGAAAGTTTCAAAATTATATTTTTTAAGGCCACACATTTGGGAAAGCATGCCCCCAAAAAGGGAAATCTTAGTGAGGCTTGATGCAACTATCAATATTAAATCAATTTTCCGTAGCAGAATTTACAACACCGCTCTCAATATTATTTTATAAGACTGAAAATAGTGTTGAGAGCAGCGATGCAAATCCTGCCCCGGAAAATTTATTTAATATTGATAGTTGCATCAAGCCTCACTAAGATTTCCCTTTTTGGGGGCATGTTTATTTAATACTTGTAATTGAGTTATCTTTAGATGTTGTTTCCAATGGCATTTAAGTTTTTGCAACTGCATAATTTTTATCCATTTTTCAGTTTTTAAAATTGAATATCTATGTCATTTATTAACCGATTTTTATCATATTTATATAAAAATATGCACAATAAGCATCTCTAAAATGTTTGCAACTAATATCTGACATATTATACTCCGGAAATTAACTAAAAATCAAAAGGTGTTTCCAAGAGCACATTTTTGCTTATAACACGCGTGAAAATCCAAAATTTGCTAAACCGGTTCGCAGGTCGTTTCTAAATACCGTAACAATGATCTGTGCAAAATTTCATGCAAATCGGTTGAGAAATGACTGAGATATCGCAGGTGGTCACTTTTTTGGGGTAGGGGTAAATGCATACTTAGCAAATTTTTTTCGTTGTTAGGTGTTTGCCTCACTAAGAAAAATGTTCGAGAGAACGTTTGAAGTGCAACCTATGTATGCTATGAATCGCATTAAGCTATCGGATATAATAGCTTAGAAAAAGGTGCTACGAGTTGTAACATGCTATGATTTGTATGTCTGCTATGAATTGCATCTGTTATGAATATCATGCCATCAGGGTATTCCGACCCCGGGTTTTACTGGGTTGGGGTTTTGGGGTTTTACTAGGTTTTACTGGGTCGCAAATCAGTAAAACCCAGCGGGTTTTACTATGTTAAAGGGGTTTTACTCGGGTTTTACTGGGTTTTACTCGGGTTTTACTAAGTTTTATCTAAAATACAAACAGATAAACCCATAGAATCAGTTTGCTGGTGCATATCTAACTCGAATTAAGTACTCCGATTAATATTCCGTAAATTTATATATTTATTTTGAATTTTTATTTATGATCTAAAAATAATAATTTTCAGCTTAACTTGGAGTTTGATCAAATTCGTGTTTTTTTGTGTTCCTGGCATTTTAAATTGAAGTTTTTTGATAACTCTTAATAAAATTCATTAAGTTAACAAATTGACGTAACATTGTAAGTTATATTAGTTCACCCCAAACATTGAGTAAAACCCAGTAAAACCCAGTAAAACCCCAAAACCCAGTAAAACCCAGTAAAACCCCGGGGTAGTTGTTTTCAGAGTAAAACCCCGGGTTGTTCCGAACCCTGCATGCCATGAACCGTCTTTTACCCAAATTTATCGATATCGCATGCTTTGAAACGCCACGTGGAACCCGTGCACCCCACTAGCAAGGAGAAGATTTATTCCTGCGACAAACGCGAGTATACGAGTAACTCCATGCGCAAGTTAGCAAACAACAAACGACGTAAGTAGGCTATAAAGCCGAATGGTACTTTTGTGCTAGGAAATTCATCCCTTTTGATGCGTTGGTCAGCCATTTCGGCTCCAGTAATACCCTAGAGAGGTACTAATCCGTACAATACCCACTTAAAAATAAAGTTTTCCTTCTAATAAGTGAATGCATTCGTAATTCTATTTTAAGTAAACGATACTAAATACAGAGTAGCATTAAATGGTAAAGTTGAGTGTGGTAACAATACAGATTTCCTAATATGGAATTCAGACTACATTCACTTCTCAATGTGACAACTTTATTATACGTAGAATAAGACCCATATTTCTGTTAACATGCATTGTACCCAATATCCCTATTATTGTCTGTCCCTTGCCCGTCTGTATCTGCATACATGTGTAAATAGGGAAGTATGTATGTGTGTACATACACGCAAACAGATATATATTTGTACATATGTATATGGGTTTCTAGACACATACAGATACCCGAAACACAACCCAACTAAAAATAGTCCCTCATTTCTTCTGAACCCAAAGCATAAGCGTATATATCTCTCGAACTTACTCATTCACCATTTCTCTCCAGACCTCATCTTATTTACACATTTGTTCCCAAGCACATACACAAACCTTGAACTAAATACTTACATTTTTACAAAAAAATAATATAATTTAACATCTGTTTCACCCAGTTTATCGCCATGAGTTCGACCATCTTGCAAGACATGTGTGCCATTTACTCGCCAACCTTACACTTAACTATTGCTCAAACCATGTACTACAATAAGTTGGCGGTAGCCCTTATCATAACAGCAATCTCTATTCCTCCATTGGTGCGACTCACTGACACTTTTATGAATTACGCGAACGCTCGGAATGGAGTATTGATTCCGCTGGGTGAAAATAATAACGCTGGAGATCAGAATACTTACATTGTTAAGAGTGGAGTACATTTGTTAGTGTCATATGCATTATTTTTTGGTTTAATGGGTCTCGTCATGCATGTTTGGATTGAGTTTGATGAGTGCTGGCGAGCTGAACTGGGCGAAGTTAAAGGTATGTAATAGTTTTGCATGCATGGGGCCATGGGGGTAATTATGGAATTTTTACCATGGACCACAAACAAATTGAATGCACCGCTTTTACATGGACCATTGGCCCACTTATTTCGAGCTATGGGTCTGGAGTAGCTATGTACAATTTAAAATGCTTAATCTGATGAATAGATTTTACATGTCTGTATTTATTTAAGGTGCACTGGGATAATGAGTTGATTCTTCAAATTTGATTTTGTATCTGATTCTGCCCCTGTTCAATTTCTTTACTTGTAAATTTCTTAAATCAATTGTAGCACTGTAAATACATGAAGTTTGAGATAAGTGGAACTTTTGATAATAAAATCAAGGATAAATACACTTTTGTAAAACTATCTTTTGATAAATAATTTGGGGAAATATTAGTTAATTTACCGTAAAACCTCTATTTATAGCCGGGGCTAAAATCCAAATCTGGGGGTCACGGACCCGGCTAAAATTAGAGACCGGCTATAATTAGAGACGCGGTTAAATTTTGTTGCTCCAAAAATTTTAGATGTTACAAAATCAAATATAATTCATTTTGACTCAATTTGAGTTTTCTAATTTAGCAAGATAAGCCATAAGTAACCCATTCACTTTTAATCTACATCTTGAAACGAAGTTTAGCAGGTTTTTTAAATTTTCTGTCATGCTTATATCCATTATTAACCTGAAATTAATAGGAAAAAATTAGTAGTTCAACTTATTCGTTGATTGGCATAATGTGCAACATTTTTCTTTAATGGACTATGAACAGGGACACAGCGGACAAGACAGGTCATAATCAGAGACCCGGCCATAATTGGGGACCCGGCTATAATTAGAGACTCGGCTAAAATTTTGAAATCTTGGTCTCTAGACCCGGCTATATTTGGAGACCGGCTATAATTAGAAGAGGGCTATAAATAGAGGTTTTACGGTATTTACCATTTCTTCACAATAAATTTGTAGAGTTCGCTTTAATGCCTCATCCAAGGCTACGTTAAGTAAAGTAAAGTTGTGCTCTAATTACATAATATGTACATATGTACGTACATAGATTGGAAAACGGCTTTGTTTAACCGGTTTATAAATTTTATTAGAGGTTGTGTGTGAAGAAATGACTCCAATTTAAAACTTGAACATGTGTAATTATTCATTTTACTAATTGTAAGTTTTTAATTTTTGTAGAAAACCAATCTTGGAGCTTCACGAAGGAACTTCCCGTCTCGATCCATTCTGTCATTCTCCTTTTGAACATGACCACAATAACGGAATGGAAAATTCTTCCAAATAATGCTAGCATGACACCACAACACGAATTTCTAAACTCATTTCTACAATCGACGGACACAAATCTTGAAATATTTGAAAATTTCGTAAGAAATTCTTAATATTCACCAGACATAAATGGTGTTGCCGATCATACATAAACTTCCCGTAAATGCACCAGCCATTAACTTTTGCAAATTTTTATGGAGGCACATTTTTAGAACTATTTTTAGACTCCCACAAACACTTGCGATGAAATGGTATAATCTTTTTTACAAAAGTTGTAATTTTTTTATTCTTTTGTACCCGAATTGTTGAGATTGAGTGGTACACATTTCAATTCTTGGCCCTTTGAACAATCCACTCCCAAAAATTTAAATTTCCAATTTTATGAGTTCATTACAATGTATTTATGTCATAGATATACGAATATAAATCCAACTGGGAGTCAAGTTGGTGAGTAGCTACACTCTTAGAAATAGGGTTACGATTATAACCAAAAAGTAAGCGTACATATGTGACTCTACCGCCGTGGTTATAAACTTGTCACAAACTAGTTATAAATTTAACTCTGGCGACAATTTAATACCAAGTGGATGAAACTTTGTAATTAGCCGGAGACAATTGTAACCACTCGATGACAAATTTATAACCACGGCGGTAGAATCACATACATTTACTTTTTGGTTATAATCGGAACCCTATTTCTAAGAGTGTATCTTGCATTTAAGAAGACCAACCAAATCACAACTCATTGGCAACACTAACCATAATTTAGTGACCTAACATTACTTTATTTATACAATTCAGGCATTCGTTTCTGACCCTCCCGTTCCCCTATCCTGTACAAAATTCGACAGCTGGACACAATTCAGTAATGAAGCGGCCGGAATGACAATATGCAAGCGAAGTGATACAATGGAAAGTGCAGAAATGGATGCCTATGTGAACAAAGTGATGTCAATAGTGTTCGGCCCAACGCCTTTGGATAATTGGACACAATTGATCAATGGAGCCACCTTGAGTCAAGGTAAGGTTTCATAATTTTTAGTACCGAAAAAGTCGACTCGGCCGAGCACCGAGTACTCGGTTATATTTTTGCCGAGTACTCTTTTCTGCTCGTTTGCCGAGCACCGAGCAAAGCTCGGCAATCGAGTACCGAGCAAGGCTCGGCCACCGAGTAAATTGTCAAAAAGATCATCAAAAAAATCATTGTTTACATAATATTTAATTACCAATGCCTTTATTTTGAGAACTGGTGGACGGAATCACGTGAAGCTTCTGATTCTTCTTCATGTTCCAACATTACAATTAAAGTTGACTACCGGATAGAATTAACAAATTTCACGGGTGTATTTTTCAAGTTAGTTTGATTTTGATTGCAAAAACCACATGGATAGTTTGAACTGCGCGGTGTAACTACCGGGTAAAGTGGTACTGGATGCATATAAAAATTTAAGAAATACTCGGACGAGCACGCAAAAAAACTCGGCCGAGTCCGAGTAGTGAGAACACGGCCAAAACCTGCCGAGTACTCAGCAGCGCCGAGTACTCGGTGCATATCTAAATTTTATATATACACTCTTAAAAATATTGAAGGTATTCATTATTTCTTAATATCCTCAAAATTATTCGCTTCGTATAACAAATTTTGTACTCGTCATAAGATTTTGTTATCGAAAATCTCGTTAGTAACAATGGAACCTTTTTTCAAGCTGCACCTGGATCGACTAGCGAGTTATGTCAAAAAAATCAAGCTAAAAATTAGGAGTCACGTGGCACTAATCTTTCCGTTGAAGAAAAATATTGGCGGTAAAGTTCAAATTTTTAATAAATTTTCTCTCCCTTTTCCTCCACGAGGCGAAAATCCAAATCGTGGGTACTTTGACCCCAATATTTGTCTTCAAATTATGGCCATTCAACAAAATGATAAGCGCCATGTGTTTCTTGATTTTTTGACATAACTCGCTAGTCAATCGCGGTGTAGCATGAAAAAAGGTTCCATGGTAAGCTTACTATTTTTACGAAACTTGACCGTATTTGACCCATTTCTTCTCCTTCCTGTATTGTTTGCCAAGAAATAATTAATACCCTCTTTGTTACCTATTGGAAGAGTAAATTAACTCTAAATTCTAAATCAAGCCAACTATGTATACGTACTAAATCTAGAGGAATAGTAACTTCATTAAGAGTAAATTTTACTCTGGATTTACAATAGTTTAATTAATATAGAATTTATTCAAAAGGATTATTTCTAACCGTGAATAACAATAAAAATCCTTATACTACATACATAACTTACAAACTTCAAACAATCCACAGAATTCAGCACGTTGGACCAACTTTTCTACAAGTACGCCATACCATGTTTCCTAATACTGGGATCCATCGAGTTAATATTGTATCGCCATTTAAAAAAGATGGAAACCGAAGTGGTTTATGTTATCCTGGAACTGCGCATGCGCCTTGAGGATGACGAACCCCTAAGTGAGGATACCCACCGATTCGTACAGCATCACGAGCGCTGTATTCAAATTCACAAGAGTAATTGGATACAGGGCGTGACACTATTGGTCTGCCTGGGAATACTTATACTACAGCTGGCCGAAATTTATAGGGTGCTGTGGGAAAATGAGGCCATTGAAGGGAGCGGTAAGTTTCTGGCAAGAATATTTTATACACTCGGTAACTAAGTTATTACCAGGCGGAGTATCTATGTGACTCTACCGCAAGGTAATTTATTTATTATTGAGTGGTAGACATTTTGTTACCAAACCGGTAATAAACCTGGTCGCGAAATTTGAAAATATTACCAGTTGGTAACTAATTTTCTACGACTCAATAATAAATAAATTACCATGCGGTAGGGTCACATAGATACTCCGCCTGGTAATAACTTAGTTACCGGGTTTCTTAGTGTGTACTTAATATGTAAGTGTTCTAAAATAACATTAAATATTTTCGAATGCAGAGAACGACGATTTACCGTACGAGCACGGTCAGAGATTCAGAGACGAATTTTATGTCCCTCTTGATCCCGTGACATTTCTTCGATTTAGAACGATAACAACTTTTAATTGGACACTTCCTCCGGCAGGTCAAGAAGCCCATTATCTTGAGCAAACTGAAGAGTCGGCCAAGGTAGCAAGTTTTCTGGAGTTGCGCCTTGACCCAGCGCTTTTTGAGGAGTAATGTGATAAATTTTGAACGTGAACAGGACAAAACAGTTGTACGTACTACGTAATCTCACTAAAAGATTGGTTTAACTAAGGAACCCAAAATTTCGATTTTCGTCATTTTGTTAACAGTGTTTCGACTTTCTTTAAGTGGTAGTTGTGGAATTATAATATCCTAATATAATTTATCTTATCACGACATTATAATAGATCTTAACGTTTTGTTACTGCGTTTTAATAAAGTTATATGATAAATTTTTTTATTAGCCACCAGGTTGTAGGGAAATGAATGCGAAACTCTGTCCTACGGAGGCTCCGCCACTAACATGTGAACGTTTTTGACCTTCAATTACTGGTTGAACGGCTTGGAGTTTAGGTCCCGAACATTTTTTATGTGAAAGCCCTTTTCTCGAGCTACAAGTCGGCATCGGCGATTTCAACTTCTGTACACTGATTTGACCATGGCGAAGTCAACTTTAGACCACTCGTCTCCCATAACTTTCCAAACTCCGTCAAAAGTTTTTCGGTGGCGGAGAAAAGATTTTGTTTCAGATATCCAAAGCCGAATAAATCCATTGGACTTACATAGAGTGACTTAACAGGCATTTCACTATTTTGGATGATTGTTATCCTGAATATCCTGAAGCTTTCAGGTCCTTGGCGTAATCCTGGGTCAAAAGGGCGGTGTGTGATGACGCTGCGCCGTGATGAACTATCACTTTTTTTGTGTCCTTACCATATGGTTTTGGGACATGAATCTCCAAAAGCGGTTTTAAAACAACGTCAATGAAGTACTTCGTAGTTACCTTCACTTTTTGTGGAACTTTGATAAGTAGGAGGACACCACGACCAGATAATGCACCAACCACCATGAACTTGTTGCAAAAGTTTTCCGTGTGCGGGATGGTCAATCTTCTGGAATTATTTTCTTCTTTGGTTGTATAGTAAATTTTTCTATGACCGTTGGTATCTTTAAAGAAAATAATTCTTCATCCAACGACACTAAAAAGTCACTTTTATCTTTTGTCAGGTAATTTATATAAAATTTTTTGGAGGTCAGACGACGATTTTGTTTATGCTTCTCAGTCAGCTGATGGACTCGGATTTTTCTTCTTTTTTGCTTCTGCAAAATTTTAATTGCTCGTCGCACACTAGTCTATGACACTTTGGTTAGACGTGCCACTGCTCTCTGGGGTGGTGAGTTGCCCTTAGAGGTCAGTAGGTCAATTTTCTTAAGCACGGGCCGAATTAGCACTTTACGGACTCGGGTTTGAGGCATGATGGTTGTCCTTTGGTACGAGCTTGTCGTTGTTGACCTTCGTTTATCAGTACCTTATGTATCCCTGTTTTCGAAACTTGTTGTCCTTGAATTTTGAAGTGGTTAATTATGTCTGTGTACGAAAAATTAAGTTTGGAAAGTGTTTTTATGGTACCCTCTTACTCTAAGGTCAATGGTAGGGTCATTTTTGAATCTAGAGAGCTAATTTTTTGCTCAGCCCTTGTCAATAATCATATGTCGCTATGCTCAAAATTTGGAACCGAAACTCCAACCCGTTTTGGAGCAATTCAAGAGTGACCGCGTTCACGTGTTAGTAGCGGATCCTGTATAACATTTAGCACATGAAATTTGCTTCACCTTCTGATGTCCCTTATCATAAAACATTAACGCATAGTAGTTATTTATTATTGGTTGTACGGGTTTGAACTTTATAATTTCAACAAAATCGGAATGTTACACTTCAAATAATCGCTCCTCCCATCCGTACTATCGGGACACTGAAAGGGACATGTTGATGCTATGATATTAAAAGTTAAACGTAATTTATTATTGTTCTTTCCATGTTCATTTTACATACATTTATTTCGAAAAAGCTAAACGACCAGCGCCGTACATAAATTTCCCTATCTGAATATTTAAAAAAATTCCTCTAATTGTTGTCGTCCTAAAGATAAAATACCTCATCCAGCTCTCGTCCTGCTGGCAGAGATCCTAAAATCGCGGCCACATTTCCGCGTTGAACTGCAATACTAATTCTTTGGATGAGAAAATTCGTTGCCCTCTTCTCGTCCGTGAGGGCTGTGATCCTTGTCCCTATTTCTTTGATAAGGGACAGGCCCTCCTTGCCCCATACTCCAGTTGTTTCAACGGCTACGGGAACAAAGAGGAATCTGTCCAGAAGGTACCTTTTTGTCTTCCTGTCCTCCGCCCTCTCGGCTGCCGCACCAGGATGAACACAGGTTTGGGGGAGGTAAGACGGTGCAAAAGTGTCGACACACGTCCCATACCAGGGGCCGCCCTCTTGCCCATGGAACCAATGTCAGTCCGTCAGGGCGCTTCCCGTCTGGCCGGGAACAACCGGCTGGCTCTTTAATGGTGGGGGCTCCGGCGGAACGAAGAGCTCTCCAAATCACGTCATTTGCTGCGGCATGGCGGGAATGACGCCCCGCACTACTTTTGCAGCTCAGGCCATGGTAGCCTTTTGATGTGACCATAGCTCCGCATGGACATTTATGGGAGTGGCAGACGTCGCATCCAAGACGGAGGGCACAAGCGATGCGAAACGTCTCATTTGGGAGTAGCGTCCCAAGTTGTGGCGAAGGTACGGCATTGAGCCACGCCCCCACATGCGGTTGTCCCATGGCAAGGAGACGAGCTTTATCCTCTGGAGTAGATGGTCTATTTCTGAGGTGGTTGATAGCGGCCTCTTGCTGAGGCACCTCCCACGAGGCCTGAAAACGTCTAACTTCCGGCCGGGGAAATTCTGCGGGTCCCATTGGATTCCATCGCTCTTCTCCTTCTTGCAATGCGGTGTCGGTGCCATGGAGGTATGGCGGGAGTAGGCGTTCTACAAGGGGGAGGACACTGTAAGCGGACGCGAGAAAACACGGAATCGCCACGTCTACAGCGTGAGCCATCGCCGACGGGAAGGGAGGACTGAAGCCAAGATTGCGGGGAAAGTGAGCAGTTGAGGATCCCCTCCATTGACTCCTTGAGTTTGGCGTCATACAGGGTGAGGGCGTCGAATCTCCGCCAAGTCGGGGCACACCGCAAAAAATAAATAAGGCGGGGTGTAGAGATGGACGCCCGAAGGAGGAAAAACGCAGAGTGGGAGGAGAGTTCAAGGAGTCGGGCGCCCAGTTTGGCAAGTTGGTCGGTCTTTGTCCCCACCACCGACTCGATGGCCTCGTCAGTAAGCGGGGCGCCAAGCAGGACGGCGGTTGCGGGGGATATCTCCTGTATCCCTGGCGCCGCCTGTCGGAACCGCTCCAAAATTTTAGAGCGGGTATGGTCGTCCGCTCCAAGCACACCAACCTCACATTTCGCGGTATTGAGAAGAAGCCCGACGTCCGCTCCCATGCGAACAATTGTATCTAATGCCTCGAGAACTTTTTCTGGAGTGTCCGCTAGAGTGGCATCATCCAAGTACCACAGATTCAGCTCAGTTTCGATAGCAAGGATGATGGGCTGGACGACCAGGGCGAAAAGTGCGGGACCTATCGGATCTCCTTGTTGGGCCCCGCGGCGGGAGGAGATGGGTGTGTCCCCATAAAATAGTTGAGATGGGGAGGAGTAAGCCTGCGATAAAAAACTGAACATTGAGGGGAACCTTTGAAGAATAATGCTAAGAATCGTGTCCCGCCGAATCTCATTAAAAGCATTTGAGAAATCCAATTTCAAGAAGGCCTTGGCTGTTGTGTGCTTGTGGCCCCAGTAAATGCGGGCCGCATGTGCCGCTGCTTCTGCTCCTCCCTTTGTCCCCACCCCCAGCTGATGTGGTGCGAGGTATTCCGTCAGGCGGGACGACATCCTGGTAACAGCAATTTTAGAAGCCAGACGTCGCCACATATTTCCAACCGCCACGGGCCGAATTCCACCCGTCTTCTTCTTTAGGGCGGTGAGGGAAGCCCCGTAGAAAATGGGGCAGAAAGAGACCGGTACACTCCCTCTGAGAACAACATTTATAAAATTAAGCAGGGCGTCGATTAGATTAGTCCCTGCTTCTCCTTGTTCTACCGCGACAATATCTTTCAAAATTTGTGGGCGGAGGGAGTCCAGACCTCCCGCCGATCCTGGCGGGAAGCTTGCGATGGCTGTAGTGACCTCAAGCACCTCCACCGCTGCTGGTTCCACTGAATTCTTTGGCGGTACGGGATAATTTGTAGGCTCCGGATGTGGCGGGTGCTTGGCGATTAGCGCATCAATCGTTTCCTGGGTCATGGGGGCATTCGTGTCATCTGAGCAGGCCAGTCGAATTGCTCCCCGGACATCGCCATCTGCCAACTTGGCCTCAACTTTTTTGGCGACACTCTCAATCACTCGAGGGGGCTTGGCGGGAGGTCGTTTTTGTCGTGGCGGGGGGCGGTCTGGTCCACTAGCCACCTAGCAACCCGTGACTTGACCCATGTTGTCAAATTCTTCACCTTATCGGTCTTCTGGGGGACAGGAAGACACGCATAGGGGAACAGAAAGAGCTTTCCCCATACTTCTTCGGTGTTGGCAGTGGTCACCTCCTCTAAGACCTTAGTGAGGGCCCGAGCAACTTCTTTTCTGGCCCCTTTTGGTACTCTTCGTAGTGTGGGTGTGGTCATCTTGAGGCGAGAAAGGACTTCCCCCCAATCCTGCGACATTGTCTCCGAGGCTGGCGAATCCATCCACCGCATTCCCTCAAAAAACGTGTGAGCGTCTGCCCCAGTCTTTCGACGACTCATGACATTGGGGAATAACTCCTTTATGTATTTCCCGAGGGTGGTCTCGACGACTCCACCCTCTCCGGATTGGTGAACGAAAAGTGCATAGCGGGCGAATATATCCGACTTCCTTAGTTTTGAGTTCTGGTCCGGGATTAGGGAGTCCTGAATCCATCGACGCGCTGAGGCGAAAGTGTCTCTCTTTGTCACGCCAGGAGATGATGGCGACACCGACGAACGGCGGCGTGCTGGGGCAGAGAGAATTGATGTGTCCAACGGTGCTGGGCCGTCATTCACATAAATAGGAGGCCCGGGAGGAACCATTTCACTCGCAGACTCGCCATTCACAATCGCTGAGAAGACCGGGCCGATGAGCGATTTTCGTGGTCTGCCTCTTGGACGTGATGACACTGACGTCGCGTCCCCCGAAGGTTGTGACTCGTTGTCGGGTGGGTCACCCGAAATCCCGTCACGTGATGACATGTAGACCTGTAGCGAACCCTGAGCGCGAAGAGAGACCAATTGGACTCACGCAGGGACCCAAAAAAAAATATTAGTATATTGGGCTCCTTTTAAAACGTTGCATCACACAAAAAAGGAACGGAAGGAAAAACTTTCTTGCCTTATTTAGGCACTTAAAGTGCGTGAGGATAGCCAACCCCGCAGGTCACGGTCATTCACAACTCCGCGCCGTGCCCTGGGGATGCAGGGACTACCCTCCTTCACTAACAGAGTAGTGGAACCCTCCGCAATGAAATTAGGCACTGGTGACGGAAGAGACAAACGAGTTCACTCGAGAAAATAGGGGCGGAAGTCCAGTCAAAGAAGCCGAAAATCCGGTAAGGCCTACAAGGTCACCAGGGTGAGCGAATTTACCCCAACTTTCACTATCACTACTTCAGAGGGCCGAATGGGGAAGCAGTAGTCCAGTTTTTAGAAGTGGGGGTGGTCGGTAACTTTTAAAACTTTGACACAAAAATTATATTCCACGAGAGCAGAAAAAAGACGTGCCTTCTCTTCTCCAGCCTCCCTCCTCCTCTTTAAAGTTAAACTGCAAATACATATGAATTTTTGAGAATATAAGTAATCGTACATGCGTGGCAAAAGCAGCTCAAAATTGGCTTATTCCATGCGTTGCTATCAATTCGGGAAAAGTCATGGAAAGATCAGACGACACATATCACCCCAAACAAAGTGGTTGTGGTGGTCAGGCGAAGAGCGGCATGAGAAGTGCCGTACGTTCTCCCCACTCACTTCGTAGGTCGACAGTCAGAAAGAGAGAGAATGCTTGTTGTAAGGTGTCGTGCATATGCCACTGAGATTGGGAACATTCGCAGTACTTTTGTAACTGTTCCCAGCCAGCTAAGAGTTCAGATTATTTTGCACAGCAACGCAATACAAGCACATGTTAAAAATTCTGATTCGAAAAAACTCTTGTAACTTTCTGCCGCCAGCGATTGGGAAACTAATTTGTTCTCAGTTAAATAACATTTTAGAAAAGGCACACGGCAAAATATTCAAAACTTTCCCAATCGGCAAATGTTTAAATTGGGTTTCAAAATTGCATTTAAAACTGCTTTGTTTTCAAAATTTGGAAATTCTGAATGCATCATGTGCAACAAATCTGAGATAAGATTTTTTGTAAATGACGACTAATAAGGCACCAATTACAGTTTTTATAATATTCAAGACTTTTGGTCAGTTTTGAATTTTTTTCAAGTGGGAATATTCCCATAAATTTTCAAAATAAATTAAAGCGGGGAAACATGTCGAACTTAAATTATTGTGTCCCATCATCATGATTTTTTATAAAATTATTGGCAATTTCATGCCGGACTCGATTTGATAGTTTCACTTGGAATAAGCCAATTCGAATTGAGAATTGGTATAAACTATCTCAACTCACCTTTTTAATAAATTTATTATATGTTATATTCATGCATGTAAATATGTATGCGTACTGGAGTTATCACGCGATAACGGCGGATATAAAATTACACAAAAATATGTACATAAATATATGCACTTGCATTTCATGCTTTTCGATATCCCAATAAAAATTAGGTATGTACATATAGTTTACATGTTCACAAACCTTATGAGTAGATATACAAATGGCAAAATTGTGGAAACCATTACATATAGGTGGTAGATTTTTGGGACTAAAATTTTTGCATCGTAATAGCAAATATACAGACAATAGTATTTCCAGGCGCTTTGTAATCGACAATTTCATTTATTTGTTTATATTTCTAGATAAAAATGTAACTAATATTTGAAATATAGATTTAATGAATTTACTTAATTTCTAACGATCTTAATAATAGTTAGGTATGTAAAAGTTTATCAAGTTTATGAAAATTTGCTAGTTCTCACTCCATCTCGTCGATATCGTAGTGGTTGGAGACATTGTGCCGGTGAAGTTCCATGGGGCGTGAGAAAGATACGTTGCAGATGAGACAGTCATGCTTATCTTGCTTGCAGTGCGTCTCGATAACGTGGTCCCATAAGGATATCTCATTGTCAAACTGGTCCGGGCAGATGTGACACTGTTTTTTGGGTTGATTGCTTTCCTTCTGAAATTTAAAGGAAGAATTTGTGTAATTACATAATGATTAGCAAATTTTACATATTTCCGCGTTAGCAAATATTGTTAATTGTAAATTTTTTGAAATAATTTAATTTGACAAAACCCAGGAAATTGTAAAATTGAAATTGACATGGGGCAGCTAAACAGTTAAATAAATTTTTTCAAATCATGGAATCTTCGGCAACGCTCAGAAATTTAAGTTATATTTTAATAACTCTGAGGCAATTCACGTAGGGCTTGAAATTTAACCCGGAAATTTCGTAAACTTGCGAACTTTTATAAAATCTTATAAAAAGTGCTCAGGGCAATTAAATTACATCTTTTTAAACTTGTTTATCTTCAGATGAAGGGTCTAAAATTATTTTATAAAACTTATAAACTTTATGAGATTGCCAATCACTATTTGAATTATAGTTTCTTAATTCATGAATTGTACGGTTCAAAATAAAATGTTGCTCACCTTGACCATAAAGTTCCTTCCGTGTTCAGAAACTTTCACGAAATTTGACCTCCAATCGATCATCTCGACTTCCTCGATGACGTCGTCCTCGTCGTCCCAGGTCCACCCCCTGCTGGCCAAGATTTCGGCGTACTCTCGCTCCTGAACTTCCTTCCAAAATTCGTGATTTATTCTGCGGCTTCGTCGCACCTCAGGGTCTTTTGATTGTTGGGAAATGGTCTTGCCTTTAGTGGCGTTACTTTCCAAATTTTGTCGTTTTACGTGAAGGGGTTTTGGGGGTGGAGTTGACGCGACTAACGGTTTTTTACTAGAGGTTGAATTTTTAGTCGGGTTTATTTTCTTGGGATTTAGGAGGGGGACGGATTTGGGGGGATTTTGGGTAGTACCGGAATATGTATTTTGATTGTTGGCGTAAATCGTATCGTTTTCTTTGATTGGGAGAAAACTTGAGGTAGTTAAATTTTGCGAATTGTGGATTGAATTGCGTGAATCCGGATTTTGCATGGATTTCAGTCGTTTGGTTTCACGATTTACTTCGGGGGATGTGACGCTATTTTGACGCTGGGGGAACTTAAAGTTTGTTTGTGGGGGTTGTACTTTGAGGGGTGACAAGGCTGTGTCACGTGGGCTTTTAGGTTTGGGAAAATCCATGGACAGAATTTCTAAAGAGTATGAAATAAATATGTACAGTTAGTAAATGTTGTGAATAATTTCAAAATTATGGAGTAATTTTGCACAGATTAAAAAACTAAAATATTTTTGGAGGAAATTAAAAGATTATTATGTTAAAGTTTATATATTGTCAACTATTATATGTAAAAGTACTAGCTATTACGTACATACATAAATATGCATTTATGTATTTAAGAGTCTTGAAAATGTTACATTGTAAATTTGAGAAATTGTGCGATTAGAAAAAGTTTTATATGTTTGTTTTTTAATATAGTCAGAAAACTTACTTTGAAGGTTATCTAAACCGATTTTGAAGACGTTTTTCGTCACTTTCTCCCCAAATTTGGTGTCTTCTATTGTTGAATTCTTTATCTGCAGTGGGTTCACGCTTTCCAGGAAGATCAGGCCATTATTGTTCTCCATTTTCTTATTTGTCCAGAATACACGGACTCTGCGTAAATTAAAACCCAAATTAAGAATTTTATTAGTACTTAAATGTTGTTTTCATTTGCCAAGTGAAGTTACTTTGAATTAATATTTCGTGATAACGCGTTTAAAATAATTAACCATTATAACTAATTATACCATTATGTAAATGTTTTATAATGAGCAATAATAAATTTCAAGTTAATATTAGTACAAAAAAGTAGAAATTTTACCCGGAAATTTTTAACTCTATCAACTGCTGAAGGATTTTGTCTTCTCGGACGAAATTTAATCAGACACTGATTAAAATGGTGCTTATACCAACTTACTATTTGGTTAACTAGTCTGGAGCAAGGCTAAGCTCATGTGGCTGCTTACTTGGGGCTAGGTCAACATCGACTGATTTGTTTGTGTAAATAGGTATGTATCTAGTTTTAAGCAAATGCATCCATGATTTATTTCCAGACAATTCTAGTCCGAAGTCTGGAATAGCCTTCCTGGAAACAAGCCCCTCTTTTATAAGAAATGGTTAAAAATTAAGGGTGTATGGACCTCCAATAAGAAATTCTGAGGATGAGTTCCTAAAATTCCAGTAACACCATTTTACACTCGATTTCATACATATATCTAACAATTCCTATATGTAAGCAGTGCTAATAATACTTAACCATAATAAATTAGTACATGATATGTACATACATATGTATGATTTTTGTGATTTTAACACGTTGTTGTAAAAAATACGAGGAAATATTTTGCAAAAACTATATTCAAACCAAAATAAAATATGACTGCTTATTGTTTGGGAAAATTGAGACAAAAACTTCTAATTTCATAACTAAATAAATACGATAATCTGCATTTATGTACATACATATGTATCGATTCAATATATTTTTTTATTTTTGGTCTAGAAGATCACATCAATTGGATACCATTAATTTTATATTTCAACAGAGTATAAAGCCTATCGTCGACTTGTTATTAATAAAAATTAAGACTAGATATAATGTTTACCATTCCTATTTAAAAATAAATAAATATTTCTGCTTAGTTATTTGTCTCGAGTAAAACAAGACTTTAAAGTCAAAGGATCCTTGGAAAAATTCTAAATATGTAAATGAACTTATTTGAGTATCACACAATTAAGTTAGTGAACTCTATTAAACGCTGTAGAAGTTTTCCGGTGATGTATAAATATGCCAATATATACATACGTACATATTTACGGCTGAAATAAAATTTTAACTGACCCAGGCCCTGTCATTATTTGCTACCTGTGTAAAAAAAGGGTCCCTTTAAACCTAACTAAAAAAGGTCAAAATATTTTCACCATTCCAGTTTACCTTTCTAACTACTCCAGGAATAGGGTCACTTCATTTGCATATTTCAACACATTGAAGCCAACAATGGGCATAGATTTGAGTAAATGAGCTGAACCGCAACAATAATTTTGCAAAGTGTGTATGTACATATTTCTGTACTCGGCTAAAATTAAATTTAAACCGAAACCTACCCTTACCATTATTTACTAAATACATTACCTTACCGTCCTTAAAAAGGGTTGGCCCTTTAAACTTCACCTTATAAAGAACACACTACATATTTCGGTCATTCCATTTTTCACCCTGATCTTGTCCACTACTGAAAAATAAAGAAACGTCTCCCCACAAGAATGTCTCTTGTAACGTCCTCCGTTCAAAAGAAGGGGAAAAAATACGCCCCACCACGGTCCACCAGTCACGTCCCGCGTTCACAACCTATTCCAATCCCAAAGGTGCCCGGCCGGCCATTCTACAACAGACGGTCGCCCCAGTCCTCCCTGGAAGAGGAGGAGTGGACCTACTACTACTGGTTGGACACGGGGGCCATTGGAGGTAAGGGACAAAATGCGGGGCAAAGAGAGAATTTGGTGGAGGTAGATGAACGTTTGGGGGAACAAGAGGCCGAATTAAGTTTGAATTTTAGGGCACAGTTGGTCCTGAATGGGGCTCAGGGGGGAGAGGCTGAGGGGGCTGGCGTGATGGAAAAGCGAAGTGTCAAGGTCAGCAATGGAGAGGATGCCGTCGTCTGGCAGAATGGTGAGGTATGTATGAAATCTGGTATTTATCATAAAATCTTATAAATAGTGTTACCATTTTGAAAAAATGAATTTACTTTAAATTCTAAATTCAGAGCGAAATTACTTTTCAGATTGGTATCATGATTTTTAAGATTGTTGTCAGGATTATTAAAGGCGGATTAATGCAAAATTTCGTTTCATAAGTTATTTTACAAACTAAATTTCTTTATATGCAGGAAAAACCTGGGAAATCAAACCATAAATAAGTGCCAGATATTGGGGAAGCCTGTTCACTTCAAAAATACACAAATAAATTATTGGTAATCTTTCCAGCAAAACGAGTTATTAAAATTTTATCAGAATATTAAAACTATTTGGAATTCAATAAGCATGTGTAAATTTTATTAAATCAGTTATCACCCTTATAAAACTTTTGGTTAAGTTTTGTTAATTTTTCTTAATAAATCTGGTAGCGACGATAAGGTGTCAAAATTAATAAAAATCATTATTCTATTTATCCATTTTTTATAATTTCAGAATTTATTTTAAATACAATTTTGCTTGCTTGGGTGGTCATACAGATTTAAATATACTCTTAAAAATAATTTTACCCTTTTAAAAAGTAGACGCACTCTCAATTCTAAATTAAATAAACTGTACAAAATCCAGAGTAAACTTTACTTTTTATCAAGTTAACGCTACTCTGGATGTAGGATAGTTTAGTTAATTTAGAATTCAGTGCGTTTACTTTTTTAAAGGGTAACATTATTTTTAAAAGTGTACATTGTCACGTTACATAATTATTTCTTCCACAACATGTTAAATGTTATTCGGGCAGTAATTGTACCCGTTCGACCATGCACAATCGTCTCAACCCAAAGTTGGATTCGAAAAGGAAGAAGCCGACGGTAGAGGTGATAAGGCCAACCGTATAAATTCCCAGGGCGGAATAAACTTGGCTCAACTTTATTGAGGTGAACGGCATGGAGACGACTCTGCATTGGGAAGCGTGTGGAATCCATTTTGCACGGAGGCGACGTCGAACCCCGGTCTCGTCTATTTTTAAAAGCCTAAAATCAATAAGAGAAATTATATAATATTAAGAAATTGGTGTCTATTTTTAGCAACATATTTTGGAATTTAATAAAATCGCGACTTCTCAATAGGCAATTCTTCGAGGATTTGTAATTTATCAAGTCTGTTTTAAAAATATGTCATTCAAAATTCATTCAATTTGAGAAATATTGAGGGTATTCATTATTTCTTCGTATCCTTAGTATTCTTCGTATCGTAAAATAACTTACGAACCTTACCAGATTTTGTAAGCGTCGTAAGATTTTGTCATCGAAAATCACGTTACTACGCTTACGATTTTTACGAAAGCTGACCCCTTGTTTTATCTTCGTAAACTATTTTACGATACGATAGATACGAAGAAATAATGAATACCCTCATCAATTCATTACAGAAAATTGCAAAAGTGTTTGCAAGGAAATGCTTAAATTGAGTCATTTACTTGTGCAAAAGTTTCAAAAACATATTCCATCATTTTTTTCTGAAAAAAATTCATGTTTGTGAAGGTCAAAATGACCTTTTTTGGCACCACTTAATTTTAAAAATCGCAAACCCACCCGTAATTAATGGTGTCTTTAAATCTTGACTTCTTCCTCATGAACATGGACCAAGGGTACTTAAGGTTGAAGATGGAGAGAGCACTGAAGGAGCAGGGGACCTGGCCCAGCACGTCGAGCATGGTTGTCATGGCGGTCTCCTCGTCAATCACGTAAGCCGTGGGTGACTCCACGACCTCCTTAATGGCGTCTTCAAACGTCGTGTAGACATAATTGGCCGAATGGATCCGGGCGAGAAGTTTGGCGATGGCGGGAATGTGGAGGAGTGCCTGAAAAAGTTAAATCTTGATAATTACGCCATAATCTGAATATAGGAATTATGTAAATTAATAATTAATAGTCTATACAATAAAACAGAATGTTTTAATTTCCGTAATTACGAACTTTTTAAGAAATTACCACTGGTGGTTATAATTTGAAAGCAGTTCTTAAAGAATCACAAAAAAATTATGACCAGAAGCTGTACATATTTATATGCACTTTTAGAAATCCAGGATTAAAATAATACCAAGCGGTAACAATTTTGCAACCGACAAACAAATGGTTGCGATAGATTTCTAACAGTTCACACTGTAACTAAATATGTTTGCTTGGTAGAGTTTGCATGTAAATATTTGCGAAAATGAAGAAATACTTATTAAAATTCGCAAAATATAAATTCTTGAAGTCAAAAAATTTTACAGCAATTTTAATAATACATATATTTAAATCATACATAAACTTTTGATTTGCATCTAGAAATCTTAGCGAGTTAAATAAAATTAATGTATGTGCTTATGCATGTATACATATGCAAAGTGGTCAAATGCAAATTGCTTACCTGTAACATGACAAAGATAGACGAGGTAGATTCGCCCATCTCGATCAAAACCTTGAACTCTGTTTCGAGCAAGTTTTGCACAGTATTGATCGAGAATCGATTAACTGTCTTGATCGAAAACATATTCCCCGTGTAGCATGCCATCAGTACAATCAAGGTGACGGAAATTGAGAAAAATGCGATCCGAACGTAACTCCCCGATATTAAGGGACATGCTAAAAGTAGAAACAAATTGCAAATTTTTAAACACGAATGTATGTACAAAATTCATTCATTTTTGCAACCCGGTCGAGTTTAAACTTATTTTGCAAAACTTTCAAATGTCCTTGAGGTGTAAAGTCCCATGCAATGGGGTGCCTCATTGAAATAAATCAATCAATCAAATACGAATGCTCATGAATTTGTAGAATTGTACAAAATCGATACCTTTCTGTAGTATGATGGACGCCGTGTGAAAGAGGGTATCTCTCCAAGATAATTTTGCAATGAATGCGATTATTTGCAAAAGGCAGAAATAGATAAAGAACACGATGCTGATTCCGATCCAGAGCGTCTTGCTGAATGGGAGACTGAAAACGTCTTCAATGTTGGATTCATGAGCGTGATTTATTACGGCGATTATTCTGTAAGTTTTACACATTTTTAATTCCAAATTATTCCGAATAAAACTTCAAATCCGGCTTTAATATTGCACAATTCTTCTTGCGAGTTGTGCCAAAAACCTTGGTACGACGTGTTTGCATATTGGTTAAATGATTGTAATTTTTAAACGTAAGATATGTAAGTAATGTTTTACTAATTGTTAATTTCCCTTTTGTTTAATGTTGTACAAAAAACACTTATCTATTTCGCTCGATAAGACTTACCTAGAGTTCCCTGTGACGAATGTGGGGTCGGCCAATTTGGCACGTGCATAATAGAGGCTGTACGACCCAAGGAAGACGTCCACCCCCGCGCCCACCGAGGCCAGCGTGAAATTGTACGCTCCAACTTCTGGGACCAAGACGTAGCTAAATAAACAGATGAAAATATGCATGCATGTTTTGACAACGTGACTAAATTAAATATAATGACGCCAGACTTTGTAACTGAGACGGAATCGATATCCTTAAGTGTCACACGGTAGGATATCAATTTCGATTCTGATTTGCACACACTTAAGTGTGCAAGTCAGAATTTTACGTCGTCGTGACAAATTTTACGGTGGGTGACTTATCGGAATGAACAGTTAATCGGAATTTTTGTAACGTTGGTAATATTAAATATGTGTAAACTCTGGTGAAGGTGAATTACATAGATACGAAAATTTAGAATAAATATAAAAGAGTAAAATTTATACATATCGCCAACTTTTAAACTTATGAAGCTATCTAGGCATACTAATTGTGCCAAAAATGTTTAGTTAGTGTATAAAATAATTTTACAAAACTTGCCAATACACAAAGTTTAGCGTGATTAATGAAGTTGGAAAGATTTTCTTTGCTCACGTGAATCCGAAGAGGAGTTGCAAGTTTTCGAAAATCTCGGCCGCATATCCGCCCGTCAATGTGTAACTGACCACACCCAAGTTTTCCGTCTTTTCCACTGTTATGTCATACGTGTAGAGATTGTTATACTGAAATCCAGAATTATTTATTTCTTAGACAGAAATTGACGTAAAACTTCGTAATTTTGAAAATGTTTGGCAGAAATTTAAATTTAAAAATTTGTAACGAAAATTAATCCATTGTAAAAAATATACTGATAAATTTAGGCAATTGATAACGTCGTAAATTCCATAAGCTTTTCAAAGATTTATAATGGAAAATAAGTTTATTCAGATCAAGAGCGTCCTTTTATTGTGCAAAAGTTTGAAGAATAATTTCCGAAAATTTCCAAATTTGACTACGTTACTAACGACTCCGTAAATTCATTTTGTCCAATCGTCTTAAAAAATTACAAAAAATTGAAAATACTTTACGGTTTACACAAACTAAGGAGTAACTTGAATCAATAAATTGTATGAAAAAGATACTATAAATATATTTACATATGTACTACATTACCCGGGTCGTGATTCGCAAAATTGTTCCCGTCAGATTTCTTATAATCATTTCGCCAATTTTTGTAAATATGCAAAACTTTTCAGCTTTAAAGCTAGCCAAGTTGTTACTAAACCGGACAACAGTGCCCGCACGTATTCCCTGTCTACTACGGGCATAATCGCAAAATGTGAATGAGTAGCTAAATATATGCAAATTATTTCCAGACAAGTGTATAGACATTTTAATTCAAAGGTTGAGAAATCTGTCCCGATCGACACAATGTGCGCAACAAAGATAAGGATTTATTGCATATTTTTCTCCTAAGTAATGATGATTGATTGACAGGTGAATTGAGGAATGAGTGACAAAACCAGGCCAGCTTGTTAAACACATGCATTATGTGCCATTGCATTGGGTGAGAAGCTGTCAGGTGGGAAATTAAATATGCATGAATCGTAACAAGAGCGAATAATCTTTTCAAAAAACGTGATTATTTGTGTCATACGGTGAGAAATAATTGTTTAGTGGGTTGGACGGAATCGAAGCCATTATTTAACCAATAAGTACGATAAGTTTAAAAGTTTTTAATTTTCGAATAATGGTACATATATTTGTGGAAATTTAAGACTTTTTGAAAATATATATTTACATAAATATATGCATGCCATTTCTTACCCAACATTCAGCTCCACCTTGGGTCATTAAGCTGTCAAAGTTTTGTTTTCAACTGTATGTAAACATAATATGATTTCCAGGAATTTTAATTCGGGAAGATTTTATGCTGTGGGAAAAACTTGCTGGGAAACAATGTGTCTACTGCATATGCTTAAACATTGCACTTTATAAAGTATTGCGCATCGAGGACTGAAGTATTTGTACGAACCTTTTCTGAGAAAGGTGTCCACGTCCGTTTCCTATTTTAATCCATGAGTCCCAATAATAGAGAGATTTGGGTCGAAGCGTTTTTCCATTTTAGCTTCCAATTTGGCTTGGTGACGTCACAGATGACGTCACTATTTTTTTCTTGAAGCCAGAATCGCTAGCTAAACTGAAAGTTCTAGCTTCGGGAGCGGCTCCCGAAGCTGGTGTTTTGGCTTCACCAAAACTCGCTCTCAGCCAATCAGAGAGCGAGTTTTTTGTCTCACCTTGTACCGCGCACTTTTTGAACGGAATCTCACACATGTGAGAATTTATCATCGTATTCTCCTTGTTACAAAAGTTTCATTTTCTTCAATTAACTAATTAGAAATAGCATCCCATAGTGTAAATAAGCAAGGAGGAAGCGTCTATAGCCCAGGGCGACAAATTAACTAATTTTATCACCGAGGAAGAAACGTGAACACATTTTGAATGTCAACAAAGTTTAAATTTTGCGGGCTGGCCAAGCTGATATTAATTTAGCTTGTAGCCAAACCTGTTTCGTCCAAGACAATCTGTTTTGGCTTGACTTCGTAAAATGTTGAAGCCAAACCGAAACGGATTTGATTTCAGCTTCGACCCAAACCTCTCTAATGGAACTTGAAGAAAGTTTCTTTGTCAGTCTTCCAGCATCCCACTTGCAGATTAAGCGCATCATAAAATACGTCCAGCACTTGGTAAGTTAATTGTAAAAATTAGCATATGAATTGTAGTAAATCTGTGGCTTCCTAATTAGGAGCGTCGTATAAATTACAGACTTTATATATTTCCCAATTTAAATAAATATTATTCACCCTTAATTAAAATTTGCTGATTAAATTTATTTTCCCTGAAAAATATCGTTCCCTTTTGAAAAGTAACTTTAAAAAAAGTTGCATATGTTTACTACCAAAGGGTTAGGATTGCCATACAGTTCAAATTTTAATGATTCAATTCCGCCATCTGCTGCAGACTGCATTTTCTTCTTCATATTTCGCATCAAATTCCGCCCATAGACTGCACTTACTTTCAAGCTGTTTTCCTTTCATCTGTTCTTAAATTTTCGTAACGTGTCTGGCGTTTCTGAAAGCTTATAATATTTGGATTTAGTCAGCGCTCACAATTTCTCAATTGGTTGCAGTTAAGGAAAATTTGGTGGGTTTCCATTTTTTGCCGTAAATTCAATTTTTTTCAGATGTCGGCACTGAGTGACCTTTTTGGCGGCATGGGACCTTGCGAGGTCAGGCCAAAACAAAACTTTATTTTTTTATGATCTTTGGTAATAAACGATTCCAATCCCCCTTTAATGCATGATTTAAGATAAACCCCCTGGTTTACAGTACCCTCCAAAATGACGGGATCGGAAACACGACAAATGCTGGACATGCGTTGCCAAATTCTTCATTTTTTTGGGGATTGGTCTTTCTTTTGGACTTTGTCTTCAAATTTTATTTCACAGGGGTTGGAACTATGGAAAAAATGCCTTCCTGAAAGATTTGAAGCGTCAGCTGTGACGTGGGGTTCATCGTCCATGATGACCACTTTTCCCCGAGTTTTCTCTCACAATTTCTTGCAGCACGCATGAATCCTTTCCTGTTGTGTTGGTTTGTAATTTGGTGGTGGTTTTTTTGCCCTGGCTACAATCCCTAGTTTATGGACTTTGATTTTGCTCAGATCGCTTTTTGAAATCTTGACCTTCCTTTCCGCTGCACCCATTGTCGTTGATGGATAATTTTTGAAGATTTTGTTAATGCGATTTTTGACTTCTGTCGTCGCTAGCTTTGCAGATCGACCAGTGGGGACTTTGAATTTTAGTTCATTGGATTCCTCGTACTTTTTCATGTAAGAGGTGACATTTGAATGAGCAATACCTTCTTGCTTGAAAAAGTGCCAAGTGATTTTAGAATCATAGTTTGTTCGATTTTTGTGAAACTCAATCACTCTTTTTTTAAACTCTTGCCTTTCAACCCAAGTTATTCTAATCTTAGCCATGACTCAATAATTGTTGACATATATCGATGGAAAGCTTATACTTTGGTCTATTCAAAAATAATTTTTTCAAAAATTAATTTCACTGTATTCCCGCCCAGCGCGCGTTTAAAGGGGCGGTCCAATACATTTGTCATGATCTTTTATTTTACCACATTAAGGGAAATTAAGTTTCGCCAAACTATTTAACTGTGAATTCGTAACCAAACAAGCTACGAATTTCGCTCCACACTTCACACTGGCTACCTTTTTGTAAAACCAACTATTTAAATATATATAGAAGAAATTCTTCCTTTATTTCTAACATTTTTGCAAGAATATTATTCCTGCAATATCGTTTAGTCACTCTAAATAAAAAAACCTAGATAATAATAATATTTCGGACAGAAAAATCTTCATACATAAATTCACAGTCTTAAGAAAAATGATTTTTCTTCAAATTCTCCCCGGCCTAACTTTGTATTCAATCTTTCCTTCCTTGGCTACCAGCACGATGTGGAATATTCCCGAATTATTTAAACACACCGATTTTCATTTCATAACGACACGAAGGATAGGATTTTTTCAAAAATCCTATCCAATATCTTCCCTTTATACCAGTATTATGCTCCAGAACAAATACACCCCCCGAATAGTGAGCAAAATTACCCACAACACTTTACACATCCGTTGCTTGCCTGAAATGTTGTTGTTAACCGATTTCTTCGAAATGAGCAAATTTGTCCCCGTATCCCTCCCTATGATCCTCTTTGTAAACCTCAATCTACAAATAATGGCGAAAGGCTACACTATGAGTGAAAAGTTCCTTGATATGATACTACACCGGTTAAATCCAGAATATATATTCGCACACGTGTCAAACCCCCACAACTCGGAATACCAAAAGCGTTATCAAAGAGCTGGAGGAACCTCCAAATTGTTTTTATGGAACGAAAATGTACCTAACTCAATCTACGTGCCGTGCATTCCCTGTGGAATGAAGATACCTCCGAAGAAAGTGCTACTTAAATCCCTCCCCGAAATTACCCGCCACTGGCACGAAAACAATAAAAATATGCAAAACAAGATTGCCGAACATAACGCTGACGGTGAATTCAACACTAGTTTCGTCCCAAGCTGTGGTTTAGTTCTACTGCCTTTTTGGACTGGTGGTGAGCTATCCTGCATTCTGCAAACGTTAGGACTAAAATACAACTTCACTGCAAAAAATGAAGACGCTATTGGCACGCGAGACCATGTAATTTTAATCTTTTCATCTGACTTACTCCTGAGAGCGACGGAATTTCATTTCATGCACAAATTCCGCAGTGAAGTTTATGATTTGGTTATGACGGGATATAAATTTTCTGTATTTACTACGTTAACCTCACCAATGACGAACTTTGCCGCGTTTTTTTCCCCTTTTGATGTGGCCACGTGGTTATTAATTTTACTTTCGTCGGTAGCAGTGACCGTTCCGGTATATCTTCAGGATAAAATATGGGGAAAAATCAGGCACAAGTTTTTTAAACATCTTTTTAAAATAATTGTCCTTCTTTTAAACCAAGTTGACGGAAATGTATCCAAAGTATTCCCCTTAATGACCACGTGGTTTTTTGGATGCTACATTTTAATGAGTAATTTATACGGGGGAAAAATTTTTTCGTATCTAACCGTAACTGAAATTCCCTCCCTTCCCACAAGCACGAATGACTTGGCCCAGTCCGGAATAACCCTTTTAACCACGTCTTCTTACTACGCGAGAACTGTAAATGGTAGCACACCATACGTAGAAAAATCTATTTTAAAATCGTCCCTGATACCGGAGATGCTTTCAAATTTAGGTAGAACTTCAAAGTTGGCCGCAGTAATTTCTAAGCTAAACGTGAAATTGTGGTTCATCAAGGACAAATTGAGTTATGCTCAACGCAGAAAATTGCTAGGCGGTGTTAGTCCTTTCCATTCTGGGCGGGGCGTTCAAACATATGCGGTAATTGAGAAACCAGATTTCCTGACTATGGTGAAAGAATCGGTGGAAATGTTAGGCAAACTGTTTGTCCCGAGAAGGACGCATGATACCCCGTTTACCATTATAACGTTGGGTGACGTGCGAAGAAATTTTTTTTCAGAGCAGTTTAAATCAGGAATAATGAAGTTAAAGGAGTCCGGACTTTTGGCCAAATGGGAAAAGTCGGAAGAGTTAAAGGCCGGATTGCGGAGTGAGAAGCTTCTGGGGAAGGAGATGCGTTCCAGGTTTTACGCGAAGAAATTGGCTGGCCGGTCAAAATTTGATCCATTTAATGAAGCGAAGCCTATTTCTGTCTATGTGCTGATTGCCGTGTTTGTTGTATGCTTGGTTTTCTGGGTTGGGGCTGCATTTTTGTGGAGTTATGAGATTGGGTGGGGAGTCATTCTGAACTGGGTACAAAGAGGGGTATTGTCTATCAGGGTTGGATTTGTGAAAGGCGTAATTTATTTAGGAAAGTTAATTTTGTAATTAACCCCAATTTTGTAAGCGTGTGAGAAGTGTCAAGAGGAAAGCTTTAATTTAATCGAAATACACGAGAAATAATTATTTGCTTAAATGCAGAATGCTGGTATGTCCAGAATATTCAGAGTGGTCTAGACATATAGCGCATATATAATTGATAAGGGAACTAAGTACTTATTTAGTTTTTCATTCAATTTATCAAAAAATAGTGTATTTCTTCCACTAGAATGTACAACAAAGACAACTCAAAAGTTAAATTTAGAGAATAAAAAAGGAAGTTGCATACATATGTATATAAGAACACCATTCATTGTCAAGTAAATAAAAACTAAAACAGTTTTACTGT